GGCTCCGACGTTGCTACCTGTGCCTCACCTCCTGCGTCTCCTGCTGTTGGATCTCCGCAGTGGGGGGTTGTCCCTGCTGATCGGGACCTCGTCGTGATGTTGCGGAAAGATGTGCGCCAGAGGGCCTCGGCTCCTGTGCCCGGTGGTGGGGTCGGTGCCGCGCCTGCGTCCCCTGCTGTATCCCCTCCTTCCTTGCTCCAGTCTGGGGATTGCCTAGTCCCGTCTGCTGGGGTCGTGCCCTGTGAGGGTCCGGAGTTGGGCCCTTATCGGGATGCCCGGGTGCTTCCGATCCCGTGGTGCTCGTCCACTGTCTGGGTGTCGCGGGTGAAGGAGTTTGTGTATAGGGTGCCTGATAGGATGTCTCAGCCGAGGGCGCCGCCTGGTGGCCGGCTGCCCGCTGACCTGCGGGTGATATGGGAAGCGTACTGCTTGCGCTTTCCGATACACAAGTTTCCGGAGAAGTATTAGTTCCCGTCTTGCGCACGCTGCTAAGTGCATGGATCAGCTGCCACCGTGACCAGCGCCCCGCCCCCCGGTGCGGGGACTCATCCTGTGAGTGGACACCGTCAACGCGTCTCCTTACCTGTCCTGGTGCATAGTGACAGTATTGGGCAGCGCCACTCATCCTGTGAGTGAACACACCGCCATAGTGACAGTATTGGGCAGCGCCACTCATCCTGTGAGTGAACACACCGCCATAGTGACAGTATTGGGCAGCGCCACTCATCCTGTGAGTGAACACACCGCCATAGTGACAGTATTGGGCAGCGCCACTCATCCTATGAGTGAACACACCGCCATAGTGACAGTATTGGGCAGCGCCACTCATCCTGTGAGTGAACACACCGCCATAGTGACAGTATTGGGCAGCGCCACTCATCCTGTGAGTGGACACACCGCCATAGCAGCATGTACAACACTCCCCAACAGGAAGAAAACCCGCTGGGTTGTTCATCCTGTCACTTGTTCCCAGACTCGGCTGGGACGTCGTTTTTTGTAATGATGACAAAGAGTTCAATATTACTAGTTTTTCCACCTACGAGACGAATCAGCGTCTGCAAGGCATTTAATATCTACAGAAATGAATATCTAATGTTGTTTATAATTATAATTACTTGTATCATTATATAAAGTAACACGAAATTAGTGTGTATAAATACATAAATGTGCACTATTACGTCTCCTAAATCAGTATTATATAGCTTAACGCAAATAATGTCATCAACAGGTACATAATAATTACAGGAGAAATATAGCCAACTGCCTCTTCGTAGTATAGGTAATGGTATAATTATAGTGTCAGTGGTGGCACCCACGACTGTAGTGCCATCATGTCACCCACCACTGTAGTGCCATCATGGCACCCACGACTGTAGTGCCATCATGGCACCCACGACTGTAGTGCCATCATGGCACCCACGACTGTAGTGCCATCATGGCACCCACGACTGTAGTGCCATCATGGCACCCACGACTGTAGTGCCATCATGGCACCCACGACTGTAGTGCCATCATGGCACCCACGACTGTAGTGCCATCATGGCACCCACGACTGTAGTGCCATCATGGCACCCAGACAAGGGGGGTGGTCATGGACGGTAGTGCTAGACGGGAGGTGGAGGACTTGCCTTGAGGTGATTTCGGGGCTTAGCGACCCCGCGGCCCGGTCGTCGACCAGGCCTCCTGGTTGCTGGACTGATCAACCAGGCTGTTGAACGCGGCTGCTCGCAGCCTGACGTATGAGTCACGGCCTGGTTGATCAGGTAACCTTTGGAGGTGCTTATCCAGTTCTCTCTTGAACACTGTGAGGGGTCGGCCAGTTATGCCCCTTATGTGTAGTGGAAGCGTGTTGAACAGTCTCGGGCCTCTGAGAGAGAACTCTTATCAACATCAGAGTACCTGTTGCAACTCTGCTTTTCAAGGGGGGTATTCTGCACATCCTGCCATGTCTTCTGGCAGGATGTGCAGAAGGCCTGGTGGACCAAACTCTCACAAGTCGAGCCTGGCCTCGGGCCGGGCTTGGGGAGTAGAAAAACTCCCAGAACCCCATCAACCAGTCGGCTGAGCTTCGATTATATCAACCACAGTCTCACACAAGCGACAGTAGTCTATAATTGGCTCAATTACATGATGTCCACATTTTGCCTTTTTTTCCTGTTGTTGAAATTTTGCATTTTCTCTTTTTCGCAACAAATATCGCAAGCAGCACCTTGCGAGCGATTTAGAAACGCGATAGTTTGATCCTTAAAAGGATAACGATAGAACATTAGATTCAGGATTTCAAAATACATTAGTAGAGTGAAATAGAATATTAGTAGTCTTTTGAATTAGGTTCTCCATATACCAGCGGGATTAGAATAACCATTCAGCACGGCCACTTTTTAACAGTTCGACAGCGTCATGATTTAGATAATTACTTCAGTTATTAAAACAGCTGACATTTGACGCGCCTGCCGATAGCGTTGAAATTAGCGCGCATCAAGTGGGAGGACAGGCAGATCCACTCGGGGTGGGGAGGGGGGGGGGGTCAAGGTCAGTCAAGTATTATAGGTCTATGAACTAAGAATATGTTGACCACTCTACGTCATCAATACTTTAAAAACGCGACCCGACTTGACCTGATCTAAATAAAAAAAAAATCTACGTGGTATGCACTGGATGTGACGTAACTATGACGTCATAGTAACGTCACTAATGAAGTAATGCTTTTATTGCATCCCGGGATGCATATCCCCCCCCCCCCCTCCTTATCGTTGAAGTTCAACTTTTCATTTCTCGGTTACCATCCCCCCATCACCCCCCCCCCCCCCAAAAAAAAAAACTGGCTATCTTTCTCCAAATTTCTGACCGACAATTTACAGGCTGCATTTCCCAATTCGGCACTTTTCAGCGCCGGGCTGTGAAAGGTAGCGTTACTTTGTAATTGATAGCTCCCAATCTGCAAGTAAAATTTTTTGTACGGAATGTTGTAATTTCCAGCTCTTAATTTGCGTAGTGGTTACATTTTCCAGTTTTCCAGGTGGTGGCGGAAAAAGGGGAAAAACCTTTAACGAGAAGTGCCTTTTGTTTCCAATAGGCTGTAAAGTTAAAGTGAGGAAAATACTTTTTTTTCTCTCCCTCCTTGTGTAACTTCAGTAACTAATCTTTCTGGTGTCCAATATACAGTTGAAGCAACAAGTTGTGAATTTATCACTGCGGAAGGTGGGGGGAGGTTTCACTTCGTGAGATTTACTAGCCCTGCAAGTGATGTTTTTAAGGTCACTTAGATGATGCTGAGAGGTCGAGGAGGAGATGGGATGGGGTCAGGGGGTCAGAAGGTGGAGGTCACTTGCACATAGTGCCTCGGTTGACCCCATAACAAGGGGGGGGGGTCAGGGATGTAATGTGAGGAGTCTGGTGCTTGTTTGGAGATGGGTCAGCATGAAAATTAAATTTCTCGTTGCAATTTCTTGTTGTGCTGAAAAAAACATCAGCACAATACTATATATAATCTCAGCTTTTAGCAGACGACTATAAAATATTATGTTGCATTTAATAATTTCACCGGCAGTATTTAGTGAAGTTGTTACGACTATTGTCATTACTTCAATTACTAATACTGGCATTACTAGGCCTACTAATGTAGGCCTAGTAGCAACTATTACTGTAAAAGTCTATAATGGTTAATAGTAATGAGTTTCACCGTTATATATTCACATAAAACACCAAAAATATATAACTTTTGTTTGTCAAAACATTAGGCTTTTATTTGAGGCGAGAAATGTAAAATTTTAGAGAATTTAGAAATAATTACGACGAAGGCTTCTAAATCTAAAAATTTAGATTTTTCTAGATTTTTACAAATTTCTAGTTCTTGAAAAATATCCGGCTAAAGGAATCTCGTGAGCACCATGATACACATCTTATGAAAAATATATTCTTGAGTATGCTCCTCCTGCAAGGAATCTCTGCACATTTTCTTTGCGTTTCTTTGGGTAAATATCTGTCCCTCAGCTTGAAGCTCTCTGATCTTCTTCAGCCTCACACATTAGTGGTTCTGTGCGTCGTTATCACTTCTGCGTTGTTCTTTACTAAAGGACATAATGCGACACTGGACAAACGGGGCAGAGATGTCGGAAGGACACTTATTGAGTTCATGTTATCAGTTCCACTTATTTATGAATCCTGAAGTTGTGAGGGCAATTTAATACAAAACCTTGTGTGATCATTATTAATTTTTGTAAGTAATTGCATTGAAATATAGACGTTCGTCTCTGCACTCGATCTTAGTGAGTATAACCCGCGCATGCATATCTTGTTATCTACTCTCATACTAATACAAAACTGATGAGAAATATTTAAGATACATTCTTAACCAAAAGAAGGGTTCAACATGTCGATATCTCAGTATTTTTACGGTTATGGGAGTTGGACGTTATTATTTAATCATTATTGTTTGTGTTTATTTAAACACATTTGAAGGTTTCTAAAGGCGAGAGAGACTCAGACTACCAGGCAATGAAAAACCCCGAGGAGGATAGAAAGAGCCTAAGCTACTCTACTGAGACAACAGCCTTTAATATACATATCAAAACATACTTGAATGACAAATTACGAGCTACAACAGTGAATTCCCAGCCACCTTAAGGCATAACCAACCCTTCCAACTAGAGCCCATCACCACCAAAGAGAAACCAGTAGTGCGAGCGAGACGAGAAAACTGGGGCCAGATTCACGAAGCAGTTACGCAAGCACTTACGAACCAGTACACCTTTCCTCAGTCTTTGGCAGCTTAGTTTGCAATTATTAAACAGTCTCCTGGTGCTTCGGAGCTCATTAACTGTTTATAACAATAACAACAGTTGATTGGGAAATTTTCATGCTTGTAACCTGTTTAATAAATGTAACCAAAGCCGTCAAAGATTGATGTACACGCTCGTAAATACTTGCTTAACTGCTTCGTGTAATCTAGCCTCTGATATGCAATGCAAAGCGCCTAGGAAAAGCTCTATTACACTCACCAGGAAAGTAAAGAATCTCTTCGTGAAGTTCGTATTCTGTTCCGGGTATGGTGAGGACGCACTCGAACAGGGTCTCCGGGTCGAGTTCGTAGTCGAAGACCTCCAGATCGATGCTGATGTTGAAGTAGCCAAGCTCTGGGAAGTGTTGACTCTCTACCTTGGCTCCCTCGATCACATCTCTCCTGTACACACACACATTAGGTCACTGGTGAGTCGAATCTCTTTGGGGGAGAGTACAGTGTGAGATGGGGGAGTAGGCATATAGATTGCGAATTGAAGAGGTGTGTGATAGTGGTTGTTTAACGTGACACACACAGGATGTGAAAGGGTCGATTGACAGGTGAGGAGAAGTGGCCGATAGACAGAGATAAGGCAAAGAGGGGGGGAAGGGAGAAGCCGCAAGAATAACACTATTCTTGTTTTACGAAAAGTGGAATAAACTACATGTGAAAGGGTTATTGGTACTTAATGTTTTTCTTCTTTGCGGCTACGAAAATGAGAGAGAGAGAAATGAAGGACAGGAATAAGAAAAAAAAAACGCCAAAGAAAGATAAACAAGAATCTACTTGAAACCAACAGAGGCTGCGAATGGAGAGAGGACTGAAAAAAGAAATGAAACATTGAGAATAAATGAAACAAAAGGTGCCAGTAATGATACTCTTCCATCTGGACGAAACCAACGAAGGAATGCACTTTATTGAACACAGTTGTCGAGACACGACGATGAAGAAAAAGTTTAGCGTGTACAGTCCCCCCCCCCCCCCCACAAGCACGAAGATAAAGCCGAGGACGAAGAACAGGACAATACAGAATAAAACAATCCCACAGCCGCTTATCTTTTGTTTTTTTCTGGGCTCGAACCAGTCATAAACACTTACTCCGTCAACGTGTTTGCTAGCTGGCTACCAGGAAAATGTTTGTTAAACACAGGTTTTAGAAGTACACTGACAGCACACGGTAAAAAGGGAGGAAGTGATTTGGCATTGTAGCTTGTGTGTAGTTTGAGAACATTACTCTGACGTCAAACACGATTAGGATACAAATATTATAGTATTTCCATTTTATATTATAAGAGACTGCTACTAAAATATAATCTTACCCTTTCAGTCATACTCAACATATATATATAATATATATATATATATATATAATATATAATGTCAGACGGGCTATACCTATTGGAAGTTTAAAGGAACTTTGTTCATGTATGCAAATGCTGTTGACCAGACCACACACTAGAAGGTGAAGGGACGACGACGTTTCGGTCCGTCCTGGACCATTCTCAAGTCGATTGAGAATGACGACATATCATCGCCTGCATATGCAAGTGCTATAAGCGGCATATATCCCGTCACCTTTCATATAAATAGGAGTTAATGGAAGGATATTTTTAGTCCCTCAACCTTTTTGTCGCTCAGACCTAACTAACACTACACTAACCTACACTACAGACCTACACTAACTCCTACACTGGACATAACATCTAAAGTTGTCACGACTGTTTGTAATGTCCAAGTCAGTGTAATTACGTGTGCAAGTCAAAACAGTAATTCTTAAACGTGAGTGCAGCTAACACATTAAAATTGTGGCGCTCTCTTGCCACTTCTTAGAATACCATTTTGTCTAGTTCATGACATCAGGCGTTTCTTACTTCAAACTACCATTAGAACCCTGAGAATAAAAGAGATGGCGTCCTCGTTCTAAGAAACATGCACTCCTGGGTTTAATGACACATTATACAATTGTATATAACTAAGGAGGTCACAGAACACGTGACCACAAAATGCCAGAACCACCACCAGACTGGACTGGACCAACCAGTTTCCAATTTCAATTTCACTTCCTCTTCCTTTACAAGTGTCTGTTCAGTGTGTGTGTGTGTGTGTGTGTGTGTGTGTGTAAGTGTAACATGTGGTAAATCCTTTATAGGCGAAACATTCCCTTAAACAGAGGTTACAAACATGCAAATAAACATTAATATTAATTTCTGATAAATAATTTGAATTTTGTTTAAAAAGAAAATTAATCTGTAGCCTCCTTCCCAGCTTCGGATAGTAGTGAAGACCCAAAAATACAACACTGACAACGTCCAGCGTGTGTGTATATTCGCAGCTTTTAATTGGTTATACGAAACCACTTGTTTCGTATAACTAGTCTCTTCTTTGCGTTCTTCAGATACTGTAACAAGTCGCTTGTTCATCATTTCTCTCGTTTTGTCTTGGGACGTTACTTGCAGTCCTTGCTCTTCCTTCTCGAGACATCAAGATGCGATTCTTGGCTGCCATTTGACCAGGCAAATGGCAAGAGTTGCCATTTGTGGTCATTCAATACGACTAGCCACTTGTTAATGTGTAACATTTCTCGTCTCTCTCTCTCTCTCTCTCTCTCTCTCTCTCTCTCTCTCTCTCTCAATAATCTCATTTTCTGTTGCCCCTGAAACGTTCCCAAATACAGTACACCTCGCTCACACATCCTTAACACCCCCTCCTCCCGCTCACTACTCACCTGGATGAAGAAGTACTTCTGAAAATGGCAATGTTTGGCTCTGGGAAGATGCCTCCCGCCCGACAGGACACCACTACACTCTCCTCACTAGGCTTCGTATACGTCATCGACATGTCCATGGCAGGTGCTGCAAGGGGGGCAGAGAGACCAGGAATGATTAGTGACGATGGTGTGGTGTGGGGTAGACATAGGTCAATGAACTCATATACTTGAAAAATCATTTTATCACGCCATTGTGAGGCTATGGCGCGACTTGTAGCCTGTTAAATTCCTATGGAATCAATCACCAGGCTACAAGTCTCTCCATTGCCTCTAAATGATTTTCTTCGGCATATTGCTCTAGTATTTACCTGTAAGAAGGTATTTCAACTGTGATTAGTCTTCAGGCTAAAATAGATACTTTGCCATTCGGCTTTATTATCCATCGCATTAACTTCTGCTTAATTAGCCAATATAATTAGGCTACAGGGTGTAATTAGCACATTAAACCTCTTAAAGACCATCACATATCTTGTTCAAGACAAGAGTTATCTGTACTAACGCTGTAGTTACATTTATAATAAATATTTGTAATAAATGTATTTGAATTTAATTTGCACATGTTTATATATAGGATATAAATTAACAACAATAGAATATATAATAAATGATAATTATATAATTGTCACATAATTAGTTCCCAGACACAATGGATTAAACATAATTAGGAACAATATTTTATCTGAATTATTGCATAAGGTATAATTAGACCAATTAGTCTCCGTAATCACCTGGACGTGTTTACAGTTAATATGAAGCTTGTTGCTCTTTCAATGTTAGCAGCGCAATGAAGAAAATATAATCTGAAATTGAATAGTAACAATGATGCGATTCTTAATTATCCTTACCCAAAGCCTTGAATAGGCTCGGGTAATCATGCACAACCCAATTCACTTTCTCTCACACACACACACACACACACACACACACACACACACAATCAACTGGTGTACAGATTCCTGAGAGTGACAGTTGAGAGGCGGGACCAAACAGCCAAAGCTCAACCCCCGCAAGCACAAATAGGTGAGTACACACTCTCTCTCTCTAAGTGTGTAGATATAATAGAACCCAATAGAATCATGAACCTGTACACCAAATTGACAGTTGTAAGGCGGAACCAGAGAACTGAATCTCAACCCTGCAAGCTCAATTTAGCAAGTTTACGTACGAGCGTTTGCTAGTACACACAAATTGTTGAAAACGCCGCAACAGGCTACAAAATTGTTCTGATAAATGGGTACACTTTTGCTGGTATTGAATGTCAGTAACCATTTGTTAATACCTTACAAGTCCAGTAACATATCCTGTACCCCAGACCATTACTTCTGTCAATTTGGATGCGACTAGCCATGAGCGTTTGGCCTCCAACTTTTGGAAAACATTCTTATAGGAATTGATGAGTATTTGCTGGTGGGAGTAGCCAAACTTCAGAAGAGAATAGCGTGCCAGGGTCACATTCAGCTGTCCCCCCACCCCCCTCCCCCACACTCCCTCCCCAGCACGACGATTTTTGCTGTCTGGCCACTGAGCAGTGCCAAAGTATTTAAGAAAAAAAAAATATAATTTTTTTAGTAATATACACCATGATTCATTGATCTTAGGAACATTAACATATTTCCTGCTAATCATAATTTGCCTGTAGTCGCATAAAACAGATGATCCTTCCACAACTTCAAAGACTTCTCAGGCCACGCCCACTTTCTCAAGGTAATTGGGGGAACTTATTGTAGTTAAGAAAGTTATTTTCTGTAGTCGGAACACCAATTACTAGCCCAGAGGTATATGCAAATATGATACGGTCTGTAGCATAGCCTAAAGTGCCGAGCATTTGAATAATAATAATCACAATATTAAGGCAATTGGAACACTGGAAACATACATGAGACCAGTTCGATAGAATGCAGCCCCCATCGTGGAACCGCCGCCTCAGAAAGCACACAAGTTAAAAAAAAATGTCAACAATAAATACTAAGAACTAGAAGGAATAGGCAAACGCTAGAGAATCGTTTCATATTAAATATAACTTTCGGAGTAGTACGGTGGGATCATACTCTCGTCTACGGCTTCCCCAAACACGTCCACTACCGACACACAAGTTGTTTATGGTACTTTTAACACGAAGTCCTATTGAACTAGCATGGCGTATGAACTATGGTGGGTGCCGCGAAGACCTCGCTTCTTGCAGGTCCGTATTCGATCCCCCTACAGTCCAAGCAATTGGCCACCGTTCCTTCCCCTCAATCCTAACCCCCCCCCCATCCCTCCCTACACAGAGCCCTGTCCTCGTATCCCTTCCAAGGTTTATACAGTCGTACTGGCAGAGTACTTCCTCCTGATAATTATCTCGCATGGCACCTAACTGGAAGCTAACTGAAACCCACAAATCCCAGTTGACACACATGGCACCAGAGCCCACTCAGGATAAGTAGATTACAAGAGTGTAACCAGATTATTATTCATTACAAGCAGATGTTCCACATAAGTATCCCCTACAACAGTGTAAGTGTTAAGTGAACTAACGGAAGTAGCTCTTGTTTTAAAAGTGACACCAGTTTCATTCACAAGTATTGGACGATTGCAGTTTAACCCTGCAGACACACATACGTAAGTACACCTAGACGAGTACACACGCACGCTCACATATACGCACGCACGCGCGCACAAGCCTGTACGCACGCGCACAAGCCTGTACGCACGCGCACAAGCCTGTACGCACGCACACAAGCCTGTACGCACGCACACAAGCCTGTACGCACGCACACAAGCCTGTACGCACGCACACAAGCCTGTACGCACGCACACAAGCCTGTACGCACGCACACAAGCCTGTACGCACGCACACAAGCCTGTACGCACGCACACAAGCCTGTACGCACGCACACATTGTCCTGATGAATTACCCTACCCTTTTACTAAAGTGCCCGATACATCACTCCTTTCATTACACGTGAGAAAATGAATAAAAGTCCTCCTATAACAACCCAGAAATATTTACACTAGAGCATTAAGTATATAAAATACAATTTCGTTTGCCTTCGGAGGATAAAGTACAGAATATGTGATGAGGTAGCATATTTCCGGGATATATTATAGATAAAGGGGGAGATGGAGAGGGGCGAGGGCAAGAGAGAAAGAGGGAGAGAAAGAGGGAGAGAAAGAGGGAGAGAGAGAGGGAGAGAGAGAGAGAGGGAGAGAGAGAGAGGGAGAGAGAGAGGGAGAGAGAGAGGGAGAGAGAGAGAGAGAGAGAGAGGGAGAGAGAGAGGGGGAGAGGCAAGGAAAGTAAGTGGGGGAGAGAGAGAGGCGGAAGAGAGGTGCTTGAAGGAATTTTCTCTGTATTATTCTCTAGCAGAAAATAGTGTGAACATAACAATTTACTCAGCAGTATGAGAGGAAATGGGACGGAAGTAAATATGACAACTTGTGTGAGCGTCGGCAGGGAAAACTTAACAAAAATAACAGCAGCACCAGAGGAAAACTTTTCGAGGAAATAGGTTGTACTTAATTTTTTGTCTCTTTAATAAAAAGACATATTACATATATATGTAATATATGTAATGTGTGATTAAAGTTGTTTTTGGGCTGCAGATGTCCGCCCCTTCCCCCCCTATTAAACCTGCTGAATACCCCTCCCCCCCCATTAGACCTGCTGAATACCCCTCCCCCCCATTAGACCTGCTGAATACCCCTCCCCCCCATTAGACCTGCTGAATACCCCTCCCCCCCATTAAACCTGCTGAATACCCCTCCCCCCATTAGACCTGCTGAATACCCCTCCCCCCCATTAAACCTGCTGAATACCCCTCCCCCCATTAGACCTGCTGAATACCCCTCCCCCCCATTAGACCTGCTGAATACCCCTCCCCCCATTAAACCTGCTGAATACCCCTCCCCCCCATTAAACCTGCTGAATACCCCTCCCCCATTAGACCTGCTGAATACCCCTCCCCCCATTAAACCTGCTGAATACCCCTCCCCCCCATTAAACCTGGTGAATACCTTCCCCACCTCCCCCTTAGGTTTAGAGGCAAGGCATTATAGCACCGAATTTTAAAGTCAAAACGTCGAAATATTTGCGAGTTTCTATCCGAAGGCGACATTTTTGCTCTAACGGACGGATTGACGGACGAATGGACGGGGGGACGTCACGACCAGCTTGTTGACGGGACATGAGACGTGCAATATGTCAACCGTCAACCGTAGTGAACACTCACTGACACATCCGGCCTCGCAACACACCCATTCCACCCCCTAAAACTAACGAACATATTCGTTGTTGTTGTCATTACGAACGCGTTTACAAACCTAGTTTATAAATACGGTTTCGTTGCCCATTATTTAGGGGAAAAGGGGGGGAGAGTACACAGGAACCCTTTTAGGGGTATCAGGGGACTCTGGAGGCCATTATGACAGTTTAAAATTAAATTTTGGCCCGAGGGGCGAGTTTATTGGGCAGCGTCACTCATCCTGTGAGTGGACACACCGCCATAGCAGCATGTACAACACTCCCCAAAAGGAAGAAAACCCGCTGGGTTGTTCATCCTGTCACTTGTACCCAGACACAGCTGGGACTTGCTTAACTGTCTCAAGTGAACATCTCCTCAAACAAGAAGATTAACATCTGTCAACCCTTAAAAGCTTACGTTATCTTGCGGGTGCAAAATGGGGAAATCTTTATTCCATAGTCATAAAGGATTTATGACAGTTTGACGAACAAGGGGAAGATTGAATAGTGATAAAATCTATTCCTGTTAGATATCAGTTTCATTAAAAAAAAAAATATATCAATAGCAGAGCTTTTATTTTACAAATAAAGAGTTAGGAGCACAACATCTGAAAGATAAGCAAAAGAATGTTAAACAAAAATCCCAAACACCCAAACTAGCTACAATTAATCCCATAATCTATGTATTAATTTCTTTATTATGCACCCCATACCCACCCCCGTGGGCGGTGGTGGATACGGTGATAGAGGCATATAATGGGTTCAGAGACAGAGTCCCAATATTGTTGTTTTTAAGATTCAGCTACTGGGGAACAAAACGTTCCAAGTAGCACGGGCTACGGATAGTCCCACACCATTTGGTCACC